GGAGGAGTACCCAATTTCGCTCTCCCGAGATGAAGGGAGAGCTTTTGGGACTCTACTCCTATCCAGGAGTACTCACCTCGACCCCTTCTCCCGGGGCACAAGGTTCCAAGCCGCTGAACAGCTGCTGACCGCTGTTCATGCTGGCTCTGACGCCTTCCCAAGCGGACGGCTCCGAAAAGAGCCGCCATCGGCGCGCCGTGCCACCGGAAGTCCATTATTATTATTATTATTATTATTATTATTATTCTATTCCATTCCATTCAATTCCTGTCCATATTACATATTACCCTACTTGTATCTACTTTTGATGACTGCAATTCAAAGTAGTGATGTGGACCTTTGAAGGCTTGAATGTGTGTCTCCAAGGGATCTGAAGGACTGCCAATATCTTCCAGGCAATTAAGATAATCTTTATAAGAGTTTGATTTAAGAGAGGCGAGAGGAGGATGGATGGATGGACGGACGGACGGACGGACGGACGGACGGACGGACGGACGGACGGACAGACAGACAGACAGACAGACAGACAGATAGATGATAGAGACAGAAAGACAGATAGAGACAAATATAGACAGACAGACAAATGATATATAGATGATAGATAAACAGACAGACAGCTTAAGAGACCCAGCTAAAAACCAGCCGACAGTAAGCTCTAGTGCCATCTTAGGGATGAAGCCAGTTGGATGACTTTAGGTCAGCCGCTCTCTTTCATCCGTAGGAAGGAAGCAATGGCAGACATTTCTGAAATCTTGGCAAAGAAAACTATTGTCCAGGCAATTACCAGCAGTCAACATTGTGTGAAGGAACACAAAAAATAGAGATCGATAGATCGATAGATAGGTAGACAGGCAGGCAGGCAGGCAGGCAACAGACAGACAGATAGACAGACAGATAGACAGATTCCTGCCTCCAGCAGCTGCTCCATCCATCTCGATGATCAGGAAAGCTAAATGGGATCGACCTTGTTGGTACATTTGGGAAGTCCGAGGCTTTGCCTAGATCAGGGCTTTTCAACCAGTGGTACGGGTACCACCTGTGGTACATTGGCACCTGGCAGGTGGTACGCGACCATCCTAGAAAAGTGGGAGGGGGAGGGGAATGAGCTGAACCGGTGGCAGCACCACAGAAGCCTGAGCGAGAGATGGCTGGAGCTGCAGGGCTGTCAGGGCTCAATGGAAGCACCAGGATCAGCGCCAGGCTGCACCTGGAGCTCGGCGCTTCTGCTGAGCCCAGAAGAAGCACCATCACCTAGAAAGCAGCACTTATCCTGGTGCTTCTGCTGAGCCGAGAAGAAGCGCTGATCAGCTGGAATATTGCAGCATCTTCAGGGTCTTGTGATTTACATTCAGATGCTTGGCAACTGATTCATATTTATGACGGTCACAGTGTCCCAGGGTCATGTGAAGTGACCAAAACCTGCTGCAACCACCCAGCAGACGGAGGGGGAATAAAAACCAAACACCCCCAACCCCACCCCCGCTGCCAATCCTCAACAGAAATGCTCACAACAATGAAAACCTCGGACAGGAGGAAGAGCGCTACTGGGTGGGCAGGCAGGTGTCTTGCTTGGCTGTGGCGTGGGGGGCACTTTTTTCAGGGCCATTGTAACTTTGAACAGTCACTAAGCGAACTGTTGTAAGTCGAGGACTACCTGTACTTTATCACATTTTTCCTTTTTTTGGGGGGGGGGTCATCAAGTTTTTGACACTTTGCTAGGTGACTGGTGGTACTCGGATATTGCCATATCCTAAAAGTGGTACAGTGGGTGAGAAGGTTGAAAAGCCCTGGCCTAGAGTCTAGACTAGCAGATCAACAAATGCTTGAGAAGAAAGGAAGGGCAAATCACTTCCTTCCTTCTTGTTCTCGAGAAAATTGCATGGACCTGTCCATAAAGTCAACAGGAGGTCAGTTCAGTTCAAAGGAGACCTGCCTCACATCGATACTAGTGTGGTGCCATATTTCCGCTTCAGAAGCAAAACCATGGTGCTTTGGAATCAGTGGGAAGCTATGAGGTCCCAGGAAAAGGTACACTTGATTCAAAGAGTTGCAGACAGGGAGAATACGTGTGTGCCATTTTCTCCAAAGCACCCAGAAGTGCTTTTTCAAAAGGCAACTGGACTTCCTTTGTTTTTTTTTCTTGAAGATATTTCACTTCTCATCCAGGAAGCTTCTTCAGTTCTTCAGTAATGCAGATGAACTGAAGAAGCTTCTTGGATGAGAAGCAAAATGTCTTCAAGAGAAAAAAAAAAGTCCAGTTGCCTTTTGAAAAAGCAACTTTGGGACAATCATGACCTGGTTGACTAAGACCCTCCATAGATATTTCTCCAAAGTACTTTTTTTTTTTTTTAAAGGCCTTTAAATCCAAATCTCCCCAGAGTCCTGATAGGTAGAGTTAGTCTAGCTACCTGTAACAAATATATACTGCTCAAAAAAATAAAGGGAACATTTTAACATGGAACTGAAGGAGTTTGCGTTCCCTTTATTTTTTTGAGCAGTATATTTCCCTGAAGTTGGCCTTGCTGGAACAACAGAAAAAAAAAAAGAAAAAAAAAGGGGGGGGGAGTCTTAGGATATCTGGAAAATCAACATGAATTTGCAAGGAGCGTAATCTGCAAATACAGATCCTTTCTTGCGCTAACAGACATAATGTCTTCGTAGAGACACGTCCGTATTTGCATGACGAACAAAGGCAGAGTTGAGACGTGACTGTCATGTTTATGACAACCCCGCCCCCATACTTTGAAGTTCTCTCTGGGTCTAGTTAATTAAAGGAGAGTAATCATATTAGCTGGTGAGTCTTTTCTGTTTCTGCTTCAACTGGCAAATTGAGGTCTCT